AGCTCTCTATGACACAAACTGAGTTCTGGGTCACTAACTGGTTGCATTCCTACTTCTCTAATAGAATGCAGTACACCGTATACAAAGACAAATCCTCCTCTGCTGTGCTCACTGAAGCTGGTGTACCCCAAGGTGCTGTACTCTCCTCATTTCTCTTTTCTTTCTTTCTACATGACCTACCATCTTCAAATGACATTAATTTTGTTAAATATGCTGACAATCTGACTGTATCTTTGCCTGTTAAGTGTGAAAGTGACTACTCTAAACTAAACGGCTTTTTATCAGAAATCAGCCAGTGCTCCAAAGAAAATGGTCCAACCTTAAACCCCTCTAAATGTCGAACAGTCAATTTCACCTTTAGGCACAAATATGACCTAAACAAACTGGTTAGCACTCACGAGGTGTGCAACATAGATGGCACTGAAATAGAGACTAAGTCGGAAATTCAATACCTAGCTGATCTTTCCTGGTCGTCTCATATGTTGATGATGTCTAAGAAAATATTCCGTCTTACATTCTACACCAAGAAGTCAAGACATTCTGGAATAACCCAACCCTTACTACTACAATTCGTTAACTCCCGTATTCTGCCTATTATTCTCTATTGTTCCCCCTTAGTTTTTCCAGGACTACTGAAGAAAGACTATACCTTATTACACAGGATGTTAAAGGTTGTCAGCAGAGTAAACAACGTGTCACTTAACCAGCTTGTTAATATTCTGGTCGACGGGCACTTGGACTCATGTGAAAAATGGGCTAAATCCACTTTATCTAACTCACAACACCCTCTTCATTCAAAACTCTCCCCTTGTGTTTCATCGGGCAGAACCAGAAGCCAATATAGAAAACTATATGCTTGCACTAGTAAGTACAAAAACCCAACCATGCCCTACTTAGCTCGTGTTCTGTGCGATAAAGAAAGCATTAGGCGTGATACCCATAACTTATTAAATAGTCAATAGAACAACTGGATCTCGTCTTTCCAACTCATATCACTTGTAGGTACAACGTTTTCTTTCTCTCTTTTCCTTTTCTCTCTTTTTTTCTGTTATGTGCTGCTTTGTTTCTTTCTTCTGCTTACACCAGTAAATATACCACAATCTACTTTTTTAACACCTTCAAACACTCTGTTCAATTTTGGCTTTTCTACCGACATACCAATATGTTGTTGTCAAAACTAACTGAGATTACCCATATTCTATGTAGGATTTTATTTATTGTTAATATGCTAACTGGATGCAGTACTGTAGTGAAATGTTGAGAATTCCATTCTGTATCACAAGTTCTGTTTTGGAATAAAGTAAATTATTATTATTATTATTACGAGATGGCTTTGTAACCGGAAGGTCTTGGATTCAAGTCCCAGTGGATGTGTACTGATGAAGAGTCGGTATCCAGGATGAAACAGCCGTCCAAAAACTCTCAGGCTTCCCAATGGTTCTCTAACCAATGTGAATTCCCCAACGAAACCTGTAACCATTCAAATCCCTACAAACCAACACCTGATAACCGATGATATTAGCGATTAAATTTGTTTTTTTTTTCTTTGTTCATTCGTCTTATTAATTAATTAAGCGCCAAGTGAGGGAAAATGTTACATAATTAGGCACCTAATTAACCTGATGACTAGAAAATAAGTCTTTAATTTAAATGAGAAAATAAATTATCTTCATTTTAGTATAAGATGTCAGGGAAATAGTGAATATACCGTTTTTTTTAAATAGTATTTTGCAGCCATTCAAAAAAGCTAACCTAATTAATTATTGAATTGAATTTTTGATTTTCCCGTCGATTGATTGGACCGAAGTGCTCGGTCTCAGGTTGACATGTCAGCTTCTTGTGCAGATGCTTCGACGATGTCTGGGGATTCGACTTGTATACAACTGGTGGATGGTGGCTAGCAGTGGAATCCAGGATGCGCATTTTGTCCTATTTTGCGCATCCTGGATTCCACTGCTAGCCACCATCCACCAATTGTATACTAACCTAATTAATGTTTATGCTATCACAAATTTGTAGCTTCTTCTTTGATAATCTGATGAGCCTTCCAGCTTCTAGCATCTTGAAGACACTCCATGTCTGCATGTTTATTTTTGTTTCCATTGAAAGGAGATACACCTACTGACCGGCTGCACTAAGTCTTTCACCTGCCCGCGTCATTGCATCTCAATCATTTCAGTAAAAATAAGACTATTTTTCTTATATTTTACTTATACTTTTGAAGCTTTTATAGATACTGAGTTGATTTTCCGGGGTAGGGTCTCTAGCCTGATGCCCAACTTTCCTTCTTTTCCCTGAGGTTAAAACCGCCAGTAAACAAGGTGGAAATCTGTCGCACTTAGCATACTGAACAAGATTCGGGTTTCCAACACTAAGTCAATTCAGTCAGCATTTCGAACAGACTTTAGATTCCAGTCAACAACTGCCTCCGCTTGACGTTGAAGGTCAAATATAAGAGATGAGTAGGACGTTCAATGAGGAGACTCCTGTGCGTGACATCATACACCAGCCCCTTGAATCGAACTCAAGTGGTGAATGGTAAGTTTAGCTTCCAAATTTGACATGAAGAAAGTTGTGTAAGGAAGTGGATGATAACTCGTGGTCAGTTATGCAGCAGAAACCAAAGAGGACTGTGGACAACAGAGTGGAATGGAGACGTGATGTTGAGGCACTGTGTACCTACATGAACCCAAGCAAATAGTAACGGTCTTTATGCTGATTCAACGAGTTAACTAACGGTCAAAACCCAAACAAGTCAAATTAGGGAATAGGACCAACTGCAGTACTATCGGTTCATCCCCACTGTGTCTTTATTTCAAATGTAATGCCGACACTTAATCGTCCATTATTTATTCTCTTCTAATTCATCTCACAGTCTTACACTATTGTGAAGCAAGAAAATGTTTTTCAAGTTACTTGGTTTTAGTCAATACAACTGTCAAACAGCAACATGCTTGCCTTTAAGTCTATTGAAATAGAACCTGCATTCTCATACCACCAAACATTTTAACTTTAAACGGTCTGATCTGGTGAAACAGCCATTCAGTGTTCACTAATAATAAAGAATCATCTAATTACTAAACTCGGTTTATTTACTTCCGGTAGTTCACGCATTTATTCAATTCCGATAATATTTTTATATCATACGTGGGTGGCACAGCGGTTAAGACTCTCACCGACCATGCACATGGTCCGAGATTCGACCGCCTGCCGACTCACACCTGATATCTATGGTCGGCCTGCAAAATTTGGGCTTCCAGTATCACATGTTGAAAATTTCATACTTGTACCAAAAATACGGTGTGGAATCAAGGTGTAATCAAAAAGTAAAATAAATCTCATATTTCACGAATTGGCAAAGGTTGGCAATCAAGAAGTGGCCATTGCATCGTTTCCCAGTGGTTACATGGTTTATGAGATCGCCTTTCAACCGAAAGATCTTGGGTTCGAATCCCATTGGGTGTGCAATACTCATATAAACAAATCTAATTCTTACAAACCAACTATAGAAAATTACTCCCTCCTTGTATCTCGTCAGGTAGAATCAGAAATCAGTATAACATAATATATGCTCGTACAACCAAGTACAGGAACTCAGCGATACCATATTTGGCCCGTGATCGAAGTGACAGAGACAATGTTAAGTGCGAAATCTATGACTTGCTTTGTTGTTAATAACATAATTTTTGCTCTTATATTTTCCCCTCTTATTTGCATTCTATAGTGAACATCTTCTTAAACATACTTATCTACTTAAATTATTAACATTAGCTTACGCTTTTTTGTACTTTACTGTATTCTTTCTTTTGTGTGTCTACTGGTCCCGACTATATTAGCACTATTAGTATTATAAAATTGTCCTGTCATTAACCATCATGTAATATTAATTTTTGTGGTTGTTCTTTGTTTGGCACTATTTAACTGACAATCTTGGTTGTGAACGCCATTATCACCATCTTAAAAGTTTTGTATTATGCAGGATTACTCACACTACCACTACAAACACCGCATGAGGGCTGACAATGAAAAAAACGCAATCTGAAATGTTTATTTTATGATTGTTTAGTGTAGTTCAATCAAATTAACTGATCATCTTGGCGATAAACATTCTTAATATCATTTCATATCATTTCGTGTATGATTATAGCTGTTACTGTTCACCACGCATAAACATGTCATAGCTTCCACTACCCAATACTGAGATATTATCTATTATTGTTGTTTATTTTCCTTTCTACTTTTTGGTTTTTTTGCATTTTTTTGGTATTTTGTTTGTTTTGTTTTTATATTTTTTTTTGAAATACTCCTTTTAAATGTGCTATGAAATTAGATGTAATATTGTAGATATGTGCTGAAAATTCCACACTGTACCACTAGTACTGTTTCTGGAATAAAGCAAATTACTATTACTATTAATTTGATGCTTCCTAGTGACTTGGTACAGGACACAGTTTCCTAGAGTTCTAGTGAGAAGTCATGACCAGTGAGGTTCATCCAGATGTCATGTGTGAGGATGGATGTCCCACCGATGACCACCGATTGGTTGGTGTCAGTCGCGCTAAGCTCATCACGAATTGGTAGAAGTTAGAATTGATGGATTGGCTGGCTGGCCATTGAATCGGGTGCTTCCAGTGGTTGTTGGATGGTATACGAGTTAGCTTGACTTGTAACTGGAAGGTCCTGAGTTTGAACGATTCTGTGGTGGGTGTGTACTTCTGATGATTCCCAAAGTAGGCTGAGGAAACAGCTGTCCAGTACTCCCAGCCGGTTTCCAATAGTTCTCTGACTGACACCAATCCGTGATCAACTCGTAAAAACAAAACTAATACTGCAAACCAACTAAAGAGGAAGCATCTGACTAATTTTCAACTACAGCAATGATTTCGTTAAAATTTAACTTATTATTAACGAAGTATCTTAAACCTTTGCTACTTATTCTGTTCTGTTTTATAAAGGCAAATCATCGACAGTAATAAATTAGAACAAAACTTCAAATTTACCTCAGATGAAGTGACAGACCACCAGAAGACTTCACGTCTTTTACACGGACGTGTTTTACAAGCAATATTATCAATAGGACGTGGTGTAGGACACTTATAGCTTGCTTTATTTATCTCTCGAATAGTTTCCATAGTTTGTAGAAAAGAATCATTAGACAATTTGTTCATGTCTTTTGACTCTGTCTGACTGTCAGCCAGAGGTTCCATAACAACTTGTGTTCCGTTTGGAAAACGACAATCAACCTGACGCGTTCTCGTACCCATTCCACATGTAACTGAACACTAAAAGTAAGAGAGGCATGAAAAAAAGAAATTATGTGGATTCACTGACGGGAGACAAAAAGCTTTTAATAATGTTTAAAGGATCCATTCAGGATTATTTTATCTAAGTTCTACCTAACTTACTCAAATAACGAAAATATTCATTCAAATATCTATAAGAAACAAAATAAGTGAGCAAAGAATATCCTTGTCGATAATTTCATCTACTGGCTCTACAATTATACATATATATATACATATATATATATATATATATATATATATATATATATATATATATATATATATATATATATGTTAAGATACATAGAATAGTCTAGAATAGTCGCCATTAACAATATTAGTGTTGTTTTAAATAATATCGATTTGTTTAATAAGATCAACGCAGTCACAGTTCATTAAAGATGCATAAGTTATAATAAGCATTAAAATGTAATAGCAAATAGAATATCAAACAAAATTAAGGAAATTTCTACAAAAACTGAGGATCATTCGAACCTAGATGGCCAGCGGGGTAAGGACAATGTCTGAACCAACTAGCGGCTTTTTTTGGACACATAAATTAGGCTTCTTAATGTGGATCCCGATTACCAGCCTCAGCAACATGTAATAGACAAACTTTTAAGGCGAAGTTAAGATTTGTTAGTATGCGGTGGATGACTTTGAAAGCCACCTCATTGACAACAATCTTGTGTTCTGTATCCACAAGATGAGATGGAATAGCATCATTTACTTAACCAACAACGCAGGATGATGTACGGAAATCCGACGAGAAAAACGCCCACTTGTAAAACTTCAGTTCCAGGGGAACAACATCAGCAAGATACTAACAAAACGCCCTAGGAATGCGGTAAAAAGAGCATTCCCTGCTACCGAATTATGCTGTGTCTTCAAATCCACCCCTATTTTGCTTTCGGGAGTAAAAGATAAACTGCCTAATTTCACCTCTTCTATGGGTGTTTATCTACCAATTTGACAGCAACTGTCAAGCCAGTTACATAGGCCGTATAATCAGGCGTGCTTCTTGTCGGATTTCCGAACATGATTCTGCAAAGTGGTTATGTAAAGGAAAAACAAAATCAATTCATAACTCTATTCTATCTAATCTTGTGGATACAGAACACAAGATTGATGTCAACGAGGCGGCTTTCAAAGTCATTCACCGCATATTAACAAATTTTAACTTCACCTTAAGGATTCGTTCACTAAATATTGCTGAGGCTGGTTGTTGGGATCTACATTATGAAGCCTAGTTTATGTGTTCCAAAGAAGCTATTTCAAACATTGTCTTAGTCCGCTGGTCAACTAGGTTCGAATGTTCCTTAACTTTTTGCAGAAATTTCCTTGATTTTAGTTGATGTTCTATTTGCTATTATATTATTATTATTATTATAATTTAAGCATCTTTAATGAACTATGACTGCGTTGATCTTATTTAACAAATCGATATTATTTAAAACAACACTAATATTGTTAATGGCAACTATTCTAGAATATTCTATGTATCTTAACATATATATGTAATTGTAAATCCAGAAGAGTAAATTATTCGAAAGTTCTTGACTAGGAGAAAATATCTGTCCATCTCTATCTGATTTTTAACGATATTCTAATCAATGTTAGTTCGTGAATATACGTAAGTGTGTACTACTTTTGGTAAGTTTCAAAGCTGCTTAACTGTTTCAGTAAGCAAAAAAATATAAGGATTTATAACCTACTGCTTGGTTCCGTAGGTTTCAGTATATTGGCTGTATTTAGAACTTCTTTAAAGAGTACAATATGACCAACTGTGATTCTTTTGAAAGCATATTACACTATACAGCAACATTCTGATATATATGAACCTTACCATTTTTAATTATACATAGTAACTTGATTTCATCCTCAGAAATTGTTCAGGACTTTTTAAAAGTGATAAAATAAAACAAATTCGTGTGAAGAAAAGAAAACGATCTTTTAATCTACATTTGTGTGTCGTTGCTTCAACGGTAGATTGCTCGCCAACCACGCCTCAGTGGCCCGGGGATCGATTCCAGGCCGACGCATACCCCTAGGCTGTCGTAAGTCCTACAAAGAGGAAAGGCTGGGCAAGTGGCTTGCGATCCCACCCTGTGAAAAAAATGCCACTGATACTGAAACCTCAAAGCTCAAGCTGGAAGCCTCATGTTCCATTCGGAACGCAATGGAACAAAATTATGATTATCTACATTTAGCAGTTTTATTATTATCATTGTTTCCTTTAACTTCTAGAGGAACATATGGCTTCAGCCACACGTCTCCACTGCCTCCTGTTTTCTGCCAACTTTTTCACTCCGCTCCAGGTCTGTCCACATGCTTTTATCTCCTCCTCGCATGACTTCCTCCAAGTCACCCTTGGACGACCAACTCGCCACTTCCCTTTCGGGTTCCACTCGAGGGCTTGTCTAGTGATGTCACTTGATGGTTTCCTCAGCGTATGGCCAATCCATCTCCATTTCTTTCTGCCTATTTGTTTCACAATCGGTTCCTGATTGGTTCGCTCCCAGAGATCCCTCCCTGTGTCTGATCTTTTCTAGCCGGTCATCTGATCTTGAGTATTGGGCGAAGACAACTGTTAATGAAGGTGTGTAGTTTGTTTGAGGTGCTCTTTATGACGCACCAAGTCTCTGATCCGTATAGTAGCACTGACTTTGCATTGGAGTTGAAAATCCGGATCTTATTTTTAATGCTGAGTGCTGTTGACCTCCACACAGACTTAAGGGTAATGAAAGCCCGTCTGGCTCTTCCGATTCTGCCTTTGATATCCTCGTTAGTTCCGCTTGTAGTTGAAACGATGCTTCCCAGGTAGGTGGTGAAGGAGGTTGTTTCTTTCACGCTCCTCCCATAGCAGTTTTAATCGACGTCTCACTATGTACTCCTTATCACTAAAGTATAGCTACTAGGCGTAATAGTGAAGTGCACCGTGATTTTGGATATTTGAAGGTTACGAGTCGTAGATTTAATGTATCTATGGTTTTATAAATGCTGCAAGTTATACACACTTGATAAATTATTGAAAGTTTTGCCAAGCTATTCATTATTATTTCCTTTCATTCTTGGAAGAATATAAGGCTACACTTTCCTTCCTTTGGAGTTGAATCTGACTGTCATTATCCTGGACGAGATCGCCTGCCATTGCATTAGGGCCTTCGTCACCATTGGTGACATCATGATAGCCACGCCCTCGGTGTGCATGTGTTTATCTCCTGGGTGACCGAAGTAGATCACTGACTCTCCCGTTGACAATTCGGTGACTCCATTCCCGTTCCCTGTGCTTCCACATATTACCAGTAGTTGAATTCCGTATCTTTTCATCTCGTTTGGAATCTGGGCAGCTTTGTCAGTCTCATACATGGTGCGGACGTTCCATGTCTCCGTACAGACTTTTCCTTTGATCTCAAGGAGACTCATCATGCTGAAGTTTCTGTTGCAAGTTTGTATAACAGGATGGGTTGCTAGCCTCATGCCTGAGAAGGGGTTGTTACATTAAAATATAGTTTACAGAGAAGCGAACTTGTGGGTTGCTCCGCTTAAAATCAGGAAAACAAGGAATAAAGCAATCAAAGCAACACCAGCAAAGGGAATATAATTCACAACAGGAACAGCAGAGACAACAACAATAAAAAATAACCTTATCAGTATTATCACAGTCAGATGCAGTTAGCAAAATGGTACCAAAATCATAGACTCACTGACTTGGGTCAACTTGGATATTTATATCCAACAATATATATATATATACAATTATAGATATTAATTACTGTTAAACAGTCACAATACATCAAACATAGTTATAGGTATTATCAGTAAACAAGATTATATCCGTAGATTCAGTATTTGAAAGCCAAATAATTACAATAAGTTCCACAACTTTTTGGCAAGAAACTTCACAGAAATAAGAATTTTATATAACCGAGTGAATGTAGCGTCACAATCAATAAGCGTGTCAACTATTCAAATCAGAATTGAATTCAGTGGCAACCAGCTATCTGCGCGTAAGTGATCAATGTTTTCATAGCCCTCGAGTTAGTTATCTAGAGACTTCACCAAAATCTTCATCTAGATAAACTCTGTAAGATGATGTATAAACCAAATAAAGTTATACAGTGAAAATAATATAGAATTTTTTTTATCCAAAAGTCTCGGCAATACGAAAGATGACCGTTTTCACCAGGGTTCTGTTGACATTGTAGATTAATTTGAAAGAATTCTCTTTGCATATTAAGTGACCAGTACTCCTTAGTGATCAGTTGTTACCTTTTCATGGCCAAGTGGGATAAAGTTCTTTGATTTTATTTTTTGGATAAAAACATGCATCGAATGATCTATATATATCTCACTGTGTATGAGCAAGTGAAATGGTGGATATACACAGAAGTGGTCAAATGCGACAGTTACATTAAGATTGGTATATTCTGGCCACTCAATGTTCTTCAATAAGTGTTAATATAAACTATCTACCAATTCACTAACTCATCTGGAGTGAGATATGTAGGTTGTTCCGTGCATGTTTTTATCTAAAACAAAGTCAAAGAACATCATCCCACTGTCTAAGAAACGTTAACAGTGAATCAATAAGGAGTGCTACAATCGCAAATAAGTACATCCTCAATACTAATTTCTAATTTATCATCATATGGGTCCATAACACTCCATTTATGGGCTTAGTGAATTGATTACTTGGTGGTAACGTCATTCAAATGTCATTCCTCTGTGACTTTGGAGTATACTTCATCAACTAGGATTGACTCAGCCAGTTAGAATAACTAGTGTTTATTCAGTAAATTTGACGAACCTGTGAATTAAGCCAGATTCATACTAAATCATTTTCTCCGGTACTCTTTATTTTCTAAGTGTTGGATTAGTTGTAATCCAGGTTGAAGAGTAAAACATCTTGACAGTATTTGAAAAAGAAAAATCGTTTAACTTTCCAGTAATATAGACTAACCTCTGACCATTCACTTTTATACCAATAAGGACATCTGTCAGTGATTAAACATGGCCGTTCAGAAATCGGTTTAACGCCAGCATTCCGACAACGCTCTTGATCAACATCCATTATTTTTGCTGAACGTGAACGCCTAATAAGTCCTGACGAATCAGGATTACTTAATAACAGGCGTAGTGCATCATCTGTCTCCACATTGGATGAATTATTACTCGACTTTTTCGAGGATCCCAGCTCTATGACACAACGAACTTGTCTACGTTGTATCCCATATTCACAGACTCCATCACACTGTGAAGCGGAAACAGAAAAAATTCACTGTGTTAGTTTACTAGCTATGAATAGAAATGAGAGTAAGAGACGCACTTTTGAATTCTGGTCAATTTTAAGAATCATCACAGTTGTCACAGTTTGAGTAGAAACAGTCTTATGACACTTTTAAAGACCTTAAAAACGTTTTCGGAATACATGAATTTGTCAAGATTTTGGGTAGATCCATGGAATACTTGTTCACGGAAGTGCTAAACGACTGGCCTTCATTTTACCGTTTCAAACTGTGTTGACGAATGATTTTGAAAGGGAGGTATTTAACTTGATTTTGATCAATAACAAGATATTGCAAATACACCATTCCTTCATCTATATAAGGATAAAACTTGTGCACTGTTGTAGAGTGTAATTCCACTATGGGTAAAATGTGCTTGATAAAGCCACACAGTGTTATACAGTAATGTTCATTGATAACGTTTCGAGCACAATTTATTGCTCACAATTATATCAAGGTACTCACGCGACTTCTTAACTTCATTTATGTAGTTCCTATATTTTTCACTTGATTTCCACTTGATTTGATTGATAGTAGTATTTTCCACATTTCAGGTGTGAGTAATGAATCATTCCTATTGCATATGTTGGGTGTAGACTCGATGAACCAGACAGGATTCAGTAATCAACCTATCTCCATCTACCTAGATTACGTTTTAGAATTTTAACCCTCTCCCACTCTATTGTTCTTTTTCCATCACGTTCCCAGTGGAACATAGGGCCTCAAGCTAGTGAATTGAAGTTTCTGTAGCGGTGTTTTTAATTTTACAGGATGGGGTTGCTAGGCTCATGCCCAACCTTTCCTCTTTACTAGCATTATTTCTGGCTTAGTGAGGTAAAGGTGTGCGTCGGTGGCAGGGGATCGAACCCCGGACCATGTGCAAGATCGGCGATCGTCCTAACCACTGTGCCACCGACCTTATTGTGTGATTGTGTGTTAATGCATGCAGTGCAATGCAGTGCTGAGCTTTTTTCTAAATTACTCATCTTCTCGGGTGGGGTCAACCATTCTTACCTTAGCTCAATTCTTATGTTCCGACAATATGACTACCACCGACCTACTAGTTTGACCTATGTAGTTGACTTAATTCACAGTCATTGCAGAGTATTTTGTAAATTAGATTATTTTGTCAAATTGGGTCAACTTACAAGGTCCTTTAACCTACAGAGCTTGTCCTACCTGAGTGAGTTTGTAGGTTTGAATGCCACTCTAATTCCTGCTTTATTCAAAATCCTAAATAAGGTCTCGGATGTCCCATCCTTATATGGTATAACAGTGGATGACTTATATTCTCTCTTATTTATGTTATCACTACTAGTTTCACAATTATTTTTATTTTGCGGGAATTAGAGTGACATTCAAACCTACAAACTCACTCAGGTAGGATAAGCTCTGTAGGTTAAAGGACCTTGTAAGTTGACCCAACTCGACAAAATAACCTAATTTACAAAATACGCTGCAATGACTGTGAGTTAAGTCAACTACATAGGTCAAACTAGTAGGTCGGTGGTAGTCATATTGTCGGAACATAAGAATTGAGCTAAGGTAAGAATGGTTGACCCCACCCGAGAAGATGAGTAATTTAGAAAAAAGCTCAGCACTGCATTGCACTGCATGCATTAACACACAATCACACAATAGGGTGGTGGGAGAGAGTTAAAATTCTAAGAAGTAATATAGGTAGATGGAGAGAGAGGTTGACTTCGGAATCCCTGTTCGTTGAATCTACACCCAATAGATGCAACAGAAATTACTCAATGCAAATATCAGAAATATGCGTGGAAGATATTATTACCACCAATCAGTCAAAACAAAGGAAGATAATAAATAGTCTTAAAATTCTATTACAACTCAAGTGAATCACAACATTGTAACAAGTAACTTATTATCACTATAAAAACTCTCGTCTTGTTTTCCCATCTGATTGTATTTGATGAATAACACTCATATTATTATCTCTGAATGTACATTATCTCATATTGATTTTTATTCAGATGTTTAATCATCAATTCCACTCATGTATATAAATGAAGGAAAACGTTGTGTGAGTAGTGCCTCGATACGGTTATGAGTGGCAGTAGTTTGTGCTCGAAACATGGTCATCACTTAATATTACTGCATAACACTGTGTGATTAATCAAAATAAAATCTTATCCATAGTGGAATTATACTCTAACACAATGTCCAAGTTTTATGTATTTATAAACTGTCATCTTATTGGGAGAAATTTACTTCCTGACAAGTTAAACAGTTTTTACAAATATTTATTCACCTTGCGCTTTGTTTCACGGTCCCTTAGTTATATAATTTCTTCATTGCAAATTGTATCTGCTATACTGGCTGTACTAATCTTCAGTATTTAAAGAAATCACTTGCAGTGTATTTGGATACTTTTTTTTTACAATTTCTACCACGTAATTTAGTAATTTAAGCTGAAGTTTTGAAGGTGTTTATCGAACTGAAGGGAATAAACAAATACTCGCCGAAGACATTAGGCAGGAGCCGCGCTATGTCATGAATTTACAGATGTTGGAATTCATGAGCTGGCCGTTGCACCGGGTTTAATGGCTTAGTGGTCTACGAGCTGGTTCGCCCTGTAACCCGAATGTCCGGCGTTCGAAGCCATGTAGTGAGGGCGTAATGCTGAAGAGTCCCAAACTAGGATGGAGGAAACAGATGTCCAGTACTCCCAACTGGTTTTCCAATGTTTCTCTAATGAATGGTTAGCTCATTATGAAATCCTGTAACCAATCAATTGAATCCCTACAAATCAATACTTGAATAAACAAAGAAATATTTATACAAACAGTAACTAACTACTTACCTCTTGCCAATCTCCTGTAATCCATATAGGGCATGGAGCTTGAAGACATGTTTCTTCTTCTATTGGTTTAGGCAATGATGCAGCATAACATTTTTGTGCATCAACTATTTCCACATCTGATCGACTTGCTATAAATATCGAGGTGTAGGCTTCTGAATTTTGTTTAGAAAAAACTCTCTTCAGCCTGTTGTCTACAGTCTCCAAGACACACATCACTTGTCGGTGTTTAACGCCTAGTCCACAAGAGGTAGAACACTAAAAGGTGTGTTTGTGTGTGTGTGTGGGGGGGGGGAGAATATAGAAAAGATGTGATATTAATAAGAGGATTAATTTTAAAAGAGACGTAACTGAACACAACTGATTCAAGTTTGTTTTCATGGTTTATTACCTGGAGGAAATGATAATTATGAGTAGGTATTTTTGGAAAATGTACAATGCACTAGTGTTTTACGGATCTTGAACTAAATTTGCTCAATGTTTCAGGCGATAAATTTGTAATCATTCACCTGATGTAACTGTCACGTCTTTAATGATGATCAAAAAGTCTGTTCATAGTATGCGTTTAAAGTGTAGCGAGAGTGTCACATTCCGTCTGGTGTAAAGTTTTAAGAAACAGTTGGTACACATATATATATAGGAATCGACCTATGAGCATTAGCAAGTAAAGAAAGATACTCCTAGTCTTTCAGATTAAAACATTATTTGTTAGGAAGTGTGATTACAAAATTTCTGAAAGTAGGATGTTTTTGTGAAGTCATGCCATAGCAGTGCATTGATTCTGATTTTGTAGAAGTTAATGTCTAAAGTTTCCTATAACTTGGATCAGTGAAACTATTGTACACTTTTGGATAAACGTAGATCAATGCTTAGAACTTCAGATCAAGATTAACAATCTACACAGATAATCAGTGGACTTTAGCTGACACTGAAGAATTCAAATCTTCATTAGTTTTTTAGTGTTTCAATATTAGGTACATAAAACTTCGGCTTAATTTGATTCTATTTATTTTAGATTTTCACTTCACCAGAAATTCATTAGATATCGTTCCTATTCAATTGGGAACTGAAGAGTGATGCCATCCATCTACAATTTAAGTTACAAAACCTGTTTCGAGTCGGAAATCAGGCGAAGTGCAGGGATGTGATTGAATGACTCCAGGGGCGAGGTGTTAAAAGACGATGATGACAAAGCGTTGTCTGGGCTAACTCGGATATTAGAAAATATATCTGCGAATCAGATATAGTTCTTTTAGACTGGTGTAAGTCACTAATTTTCCCAGTTTATAAGAGCGGAAACAAATCCTTCTGTGATAATTATAGGGGAATTAGCCTGATTAGTTTTTCATGTCTAAAGTTCTAGGCTCAGTATTCATGTACAAATTGAGGGATTCTTGAGAGAAATAATTCTCAGACAGGCCTGGCAGACTTTGGGCTAGAGAGAGGGTATATTGATCATGTGTACATCCTCCGATAGATTCTTGGACATATCGATTCTTACTTACTGGCGTGGCCAACACGTAAAATATTTCTTGACCTTAAGACAGAATTCAACTCCCCTCGATCGAGGGTTCTATGGTAGTGTTTGACTATGAAGGAGGTCCGTATAAAGTACATCGAAATAGTCAAGGCATTCTGCTTTCACTGACGCAGCCGCTTAATAGCTTATGAAAGTTGTTATCTTAGGCGATGACAACCAGTGATTTCCATCAGGTATGCTCACTGTCCTCATTTTTGTTTAATTTTATCATAGAATAACTAAAATAATTGACCCTAATTGATTTTAGCGACTTAGGCATCGACTTATTACCAGGAGGCGGTCCTGTTGACTAAGAGTACACAGATGATACCTTTCTCTTAGGTGGAGACGCTGACAGAATGCAATATTCTGAACATTCTGAGCAGAAGTCTGTGAATGTTCAGCATGTAAATCATTCGTGATGAGGCTGCAGTACTAGACTTTACCGAGTTCTACTTTAAGGATAAAAAGTGAAGTGGCTGAACGTGTTGACCAATCCACATATTTCGGAAGTTCAGTCAGTCCCAATGGAACACGCAATTCTGTCTACCCCCCTTTATGGCTGTAAAATACGTTCACTGCAAGTCCAAGATATGGAACAACGTGAGCTGTCTCCACCGACAGAGGTCTGCGTTCTCTTTCCCTTTTTCACTGGTTTAATACGTTGAGCGAAATTGAGATTAGGCGTACAGTGCTAGATGAGGAGGGGAAGTCAGTCTATGTGGCTGTGAAGCTACATCGCATGACAAGTTGAGGACCCGACCGCCTCTTCGACGAGCAGCTTCAACCAACATAAGGTTCGATTGAAGATGAGTTACATGTGGTCAAACCAAAAGTGACACCAGTCCATGAAATCACCGACATTTGCTTTGAGCCACCTTCATAGGGCGGTGCGGACTGCCTGGTTGGGGTCCCTGAGGTCCTAAAAACCAGTCGCTGAAGACTGGTTCTCACTGGCTGAGATGCATTCACTCTGTAATTCCCCATATCCACCACACTTTTATGTTTCTCTATGTTCCTATTCTTCACTCCGGCATTACTGTTTATGTTTATATCCATAGAATATTGTAGAATAGTAGTCAATAACAATATAAGTGTTTTTTAAATAATATGGATTTGTAAAGTAAGACCACTGGAATTACAGTTCATTAAAGATGCTTAAATTATAATAATAATAACAATAATAATAAAGATATAATAGCGAATAGAATATCAACTAAAATTAGGAAAATTTCACAAAAATTCAGGGTCATTCAAACCTAGATGGCCAGCGGGGTAAGGATAATGTCTGAACTAACTTCTTTTGGACTCACAAATTAGGCTTCTTAGTGCGGATCCCAATAGCCAGCCTCAGGAATATGTAGTAGCCGAACTCTTAAGGCTAAGTTAAGATTATTAGGTATGCGGTAAATGACCCTGAAAGCATGGTTGACGTCAATCTTGTGTTCTGTATCCACAAGATGAGATAGAATAGAGCTGCAAATAGATTTTGTTTGTCCTTTGCTTAACCACACAGGGTTATGATCGGAAATTCGACGAGAAACACGCCTAATTTACAGCCTATGTAACTGGCTCAATCCACAGGGGCAGTTAAATTGGTAGATACACATGGAAGAGGCGAAATTAGGCAGTTTGTCTTTTCCTGTCGAACGCAAAAGAGGAGTGGTTTTGAAGATACAGCGGAATACGGCAGCAGAGAATGCTAGTTTTACTGCATTTCTAAGCCGATATTGATATGTATCCACATCATGTGTGTTTTGTTTTGACAGTCTGTTATATTTTGCTATGTGTATATGAATCGATATTTCATTATAACTGACAATATGTTTTTGTCTGTGATATATATCCATATAATATGTGTGTTTGTTTGACAGTCTGTTCTTGGTGACATGTATCCATATAACATGTGTGTTTTGTTTGACAGTCTGATATATTTTGCTATGTATATATGGATCGATATTCCATTATAATTAACCAATTATGTTAAGACTGTCTATTGATTTGTTCATTTTGAATATTCGCTCACACACTTGTGTTCACACACTCGTTCGGACATTCTCATATTTTTGCTCTCACACACTTGTGTGACATATTGATTCTCCTGGTGTTTTGGAAAATAGAAGTATCATCGCAAACCTAGTGGTCTTCTGATTTCCGCCTTTCTTGTGTCAGGACTATTAATCTCTCGACCAGTACATAACAATAATTTGGCGATGGGAAAAACTATGGATCCTTCTAAATTGGAATAACTATTTGAACGACAAATGAAATTAATGGAAATGTTCGTCAACCAACAGACTGGTCCAACTTCACCTTCAAGCAATCCGATTCATACCATGCTACCATCTGTCGACGGCATTGTGAATAGTATTTCACAGTTCAGTTATGATCCAGATGCGAATGTCACTTTTGACTCACGGTATCAACGATATGAGGATTTATTCACAGTTGATCTCGCCTCACAAGACGATGCTTGGAAAGTGCGAGTGTTATTACGTAATTTGGGTCCCGCAGAATATGAGAGGTACTGCAACCTAATTTTACCCCAAAAACCACGTGACAAGTGTTTCGATGATACAATAAAGCTGCTGTGTGAACATTTTGGAGACGACTCCTCATTATTCAGCATACGTTATCGTTGCCTCAAGCTGACAATGAATGAAAATGATGATTTTCTTACTCACGCTGGCACAGTCAACCGAGAATGTGAGAGATTTCGACTCAGGTCCTTAACAGATGATCAATTCAAAGGCTTGATTCTCATATGCAGTCTTCAATCTCCTCGTTTCACAGATACCCGAACTCGACTGCTCAATCAGCTAGAACAAAATCCTATGTTAACATTACATGACATAGCTGATGAATATCAACGGCTGATTAATTTGCAGAAAGACACACACCTGGTCGAATCAACACCTTCGCGAAGCTCTGATATTCATGCATTACGAAAGAGCAAAAATCTCTCATCATCCACTCCTGACCCAACTTCTCCTAATGTTCCGCGTAAATCTACACATACTCGTCCAACTTCACAAAATACTACAAAGAAGACCCCACCATCACCATGCTGGCACTGCGGCACGTGGCACTTTGTAAAGTCTTGTCCGTACAAAAATCATCGTTGCTGCAAGTGCAAAATCATTGGTCATAAAAATGGATTTTGCCAGCCACGCAAACTCAAATATCAAAATACAGCGAAAGCTCGACCAACTATTGGTCCTAAATCTCCAAGGAGATCATTGAGTCTAGTCGCAACCTGTCAAGTCACAACACCAGGTATGCGGAAATATCTTGATCTTCAGATGAATGGCCATGATGCGCGTCTGCAGCTAGATACCGCCCCTGATATTACTGTTATATCAGAGAAACTTTGGAATAATATTGGCAGACCACCAATCGCAAATACTTCTCAGACTGCTGTCATCGCCTGTGGTGGGCGCCTCAAACTTATTGGTGAACTCAAATGTTCCGTTTCCTTCCGCAATACCAAATTCACAGGAATTTGCTACGTCACCAAGAGTGATTTAAATCTTTTGGGACTTGATTGGTTCAATCGTTTGCATCTGGCTGATGTCCCACTAAATTCTCTATGCAATGCAGCCAAGAAACATAAAATGCCAGACAATTTTGGACGAAGTCAAAGCCACAAACCCAACTGGCAGACGAAGCGACAGACGTCAACAACAAGCTCAACGGTTCCAGATAAACCCCCAGGAAAACACGCTATTAATCATCAATC